TGGTTATGGAATTGTCAGCCTCAAAATCTACGTTGTTTCCTGAATGGCAACAGCCGAATGCAAAATCTATGCAAGACAGACATATCAGTCACATGTGCCTTTTTTGGGAGCAGGGTTGAGAATTCAGTTGGCAATCACATCAAACACACAGCTTCTCCTACGCACTGAGCAGCACACTAAACAAGCTTTCTTTTCCCCAGGGTATTTAGTGGACTCTCCTGGGCCCTGCCTAGGTTATCAGACCTACGGTAAATGACAACATTTGTCGATTTAACACCTCTGCCTTTCTTCTTGAAATATACATATGAAAAGTTGTTGACAAATGAAAGACTCAAGATTTAGACAGTTCAGGCCATCAATTTAGTTACAAATAAATGCCAAGTTACGAGTACTTACAAGGAGTACTATTTGTACCCAGCTACTGAGAAGCTACAAAGCAGTTTGTAGGGTTTGGTTTACATCTTGAATAATTTTGTCATCTTCCATTGTTTATTAACCATCAAGTGCATGTTACTGCTTTAAGTTGGACTACTTGAAACCAGACTGATTTACTACTATAGCTGGCCACCATCATTTACATTTTCCTGCCTCATAAATTGGCCCAAAAATGTATCACAGGCAAAACAGGCTTCAATTTTCACTTCTGCATTGTTGTATTTCAGTCTGAAATGCCAAATGCTTGAAGAAAACTTCCTTTGATTTTGTTAAGTTGTTAATCGTTGCAATTTTATTGCCTAAAGTAGATAAGATCAGTCATCACAGAGTGACTAATTTCTTCTCAAAGTTGGATTGCTTTAAGCCCATGGACATAAACCTGCTGTGAAATATCTCTCTTGATGTAGACTCCATGTGGTTAACATAAGATTTACCAGTAAGATTTGAAACAAAACCAGTTCATGTCTTCACAGTTTTAACAAATAGTTTAGAGACTGTCCAAACTATGTGACCTGCACGGAGCGTGATAGTCTTCAGCCAAAGGCAATACCACTCGCTTATTTTTTTTTGCTTAGTTTTTCCCAATTAACTCGGACTGTGTGTGCAGAAAATGACTTTTTTTTTAAGTATTGGGGCACCAATTCTTGTGTTGGTAAAAAGTTGACAGTCTAATTCCTTAAAATAGTGTCTTTGATAAAGCATGAAATGGTTAAACTCAATTTTCAGCAATTTCACTTGGACCATGTCTATTCAAAACCTCCAAAGTGCCACTTCAAACTGGGATTTGGAATATCAATAGAGGAGCAAAAAAGACTGGCTCCTGAGTGATACACACACTCCGGGTTTCAGCTGTTTTTTTTTCCCGAGAAAATATACCAAAAAGACCATTGGCCTTTGCTGCAAGCTGCAAGTATGATATTGCAGAAATAACCATAACTTTCAAAGGAATTGTTTTCACCTTCCTTAATCTACATGTGCTACTATACTTTCCAAATAGGGGTTGTATTTTTCTGCAAAGAAGTCACGTTCACTCAAATTGACTGAAATTTATAGATGGACATGCCAAAAACGTTCTTTGTAGATGTCTGGAAGTTGGCCCAGGATACAAGAAATGTACTTTTCACAAGATTAAGTTAGGGCTACATGTAAATTCTGCGATCTGGTTATTCAGACAGCCAAGCGGCCGATTCAGCAAAATGTTACACCAGTACATGTAATTTCTTAGTACAGTCTGGAACAGAATGTTTTCAATGCACACCATAATTAGGGTTATTGATTTATTGTACACTTGATCAAGGCACTGACTATTCCTTCAACAGAATAAAAGGAACTGCCTAGTTTACATATCAGCTCTAGCGTGAATGAGTAGTCTTGTCATTCAACAAATCAAACAAGTCGGATAACCTAACAATTCAGATGCAAAAAAGAATTTGTTAAATTATCAGGACAATCTAAAGAGATGGCAGTGAGGTTGCAAAGTTGACATGAGGAGTATTTCTGAAGGCTATCATGTCTCATAAAATCAATTTCATGGGTACTCAACTCTATCGGATAAATATCCTGTGAGCATCAATTCTGGTGACATGATCTCCATGGACAAGACTCTGNCAACCATCAAGTGCATGTTACTGCTTTAAGTTGGACTACTTGAAACCAGACTGATTTACTACTATAGCTGGCCACCATCATTTACATTTTCCTGCCTCATAAATTGGCCCAAAAATGTATCACAGGCAAAACAGGCTTCAACTTTTCACTTCTGCATTGTTGGATTTCAGTCTTAAAGGCCAAATTCTTGAAGAAACCTTCCTTTGATTTTGTTACGTTTTTAATCTTTGCAATTTTATCGACTAAAAGACATAAGATTGGTCACCACAGAGTGACTAATTTCTTCTCAAAGTTGGATTGCTTTAAGCCCATGGACATAAACCTGCTGTGAAATATCTCTGTTGATGTAGACTCCATGTGGTTAACATAAGATTTACCAGTAAGATTTGAAACAAAACCAGTTCATGTCTTCACAGTTTTAAAAAAATAGTTTAGAGACTGTCCAAACTATGTGACCTGCACGGAGCGTGATAGTCTTCAGCCTAAGGCAATACCACTTGGCAATGCTTATTTTTTTCAATTAACACAGACTGTGTGTGCAGAAAATAAGTGTTTTTTTGAAGTATTGGGGCACCAATTCTTGTGTTGGTAAAAAGCTAACAGTCTGATTCCTTAAAATAGTGTCTTTGATAAAGACACTATTGGACATGTCCACCAACCCTAATACTGCCAAGTTGCCAAAAATGTTCTTATTTAGATGTCTGGAAGTTGGACCAGGATACAAGAAATGTACTTTTCACATGATGAAAAAGTATTTCTCTTAAGTTAGGGCTACACGTAAATTCTGCGATCTGGTCATTCAGACAGCCAAGTGGCTGATTCAGAAAAATGTTACACCAGTACATGTAATTTCTTAGTACAGTCTGGATCAGAATGTTTTCAATGCACACCATAATTAGGGTTATTGATTTACTGTACACTTGATCAAGGCACTGACCATTCCTTCAACAGAATAAAAGGAACTGACTAGTTTACATATCAGCTCTAGCGTGAATGAGTAGTCTTGTAATTCAACAAATCAAACGAGTCGGATAACCTAACAATTCAGATGCAAAAAAGAATTTGTTAAATTATCAGGACAATCTAAACAGATGGCAGTGAGGCTGCAAAGTTGACAGGAGGAGTATTTATGAAGGCTGTTGTGTCTCATAAAATCAATTTCCAAGCCTCTATTCATTCCGACATCAAGATGTCGTTTATCGCAACATAAAAAACAAACAAACAAATAAAAAACATTAACTGTACATGTACAAACACCTATATTTTAGGTGTATGCAGAGAAGATTACAATGGAGCATTCTTGGCAGAAGTCATCATGAGACAGCAGCAAGCTTTGTCTCACTTTGCACAAGAGAAACAAGAGTAAAAGTCTGCCTCTCTCCCCGACCTTCAGTGGGTGTCCATGAGGGCTGTGCCCGGTAGGTACATGTAGATTCAGGCAAGACTGGGACGAGCAACCCCTGTGTCTCGGACACAATGCTCATGTGTCATCTACTTGAATTCACCACTCAAGTATTTGTGGCCATCTTTGCTGGCAGAAACTGAACTTCATTGTCACTGCACGGCATACAAGCTTCTCTCCGCCATGTCATCAGTAGTAAGCTGACTGCCTCACACAAGGAGAATGTGAATGCAATATCTGCAACCATTGCAAATAACTTTTGAGACTTTTGGGGGAGGGGGGGTTGTCAATGCCTTGATCAAGTGTACAGGTATTGCCGTAGACTGAAGACTATCTGTGCAATACTGTGTTTGTCTATGCAGCCAGTGTACCACTCCTAGCCATGAGATGTACCTTGGGTTTATCAAGCAACACATGAGGATGTCTACACAGTGCATGAATTAATTCTACAAACTTCAATTAAACTTACCATGGACCTTGTAGCCGGGACTGGCTCCCCGTGTCGATGCCACAGTTTCTGTTTAGGATACTGAGAGGCAGATTGGTTACCCAATTCCCAGGCCATTCACTCCAAGTGAGGGGAACACACACCATTTCCAATTTATCCTGATTCTATTTCTTTACTTGTTGCTATAGTTCCCTTTCCCGTTTTCAGGGAGAAGTTGGTTGGGAGATACGTACATTACAATTTCCTGATGAAATGACTTTTTTCTGAGAGAGCTTTCTAATGTTTGAATCAACCCATTCAATTTCTGCCTTGCTAACTAGAATGTCGTTAAGCAAGGACAGACTTATGTTCTACAGAGGTGGAGCTCTGAAAATAGTCATCTTATGTGTAGATTAACATCAAATGTGACAGAGGTCCATTTCTCCAGTCAACATACATGTATTGCTTGCCATAGTTTTTTTATCTTTGGACAAATTCTGGGCCAGTGTGTGTCTCCTTTTTTTTGCCTGGAGTGAATGGCCTGGATGCATCGTCCACCCAGCAATCTAACAGCATGGTTCTCCCTCTTGACGCACCAGGGACTTCTCCACAGAACTTGTTAAGGAGTTTGGCTTTCATTTCTTGTTTCTTCTTGCCATGCTACAAGCACTTCAACAATGCAAAATTAGTCAACTGACTGCCATTGAATTTATCTTTTCCTTTTTCAACTTTGAGAGATTTCAAAGACTATTATTTTCAATGCCTTCTTGAAGTTGCTTCAAAATCAAACTGAGTACAATGGAAGGCCAGGATAAAATAATTCTTTCATCAGACTGACTTAAGAATTTCAGTATTTGACTTATTACACCAACAGTAAACTGACAATTTGGGTTTGGGGGACACTTTTTCCCTTCCCATGTCTTTCTTATTTTGTAAAATAGCTCAGGTGCAGTTTATCACTTACAAATTTTGATTTC